ACAAACAGACAAACAAACAACAAAATGGCTAAGATGGGAATTTTATAGTATGTGTTAGTTACCATAAAAAAAAATTGGGGGAAAATTAATGCATGAGGAAGACTACTTGCCTTGCAAGATTTTGAGTTGCTTCCTGGGTACCCAGAGTCTTATCTGAAGAGCTGTGAGAAAAACAGAGCTGAGAAGTAGAGTTAGAGAGGATGAGAAACCCCATTCCAGACAGTTTTTGTGGGGTTTTTTTTAAGAGGGGGCACTTTACCATTGAGCCTTGTTATTTTTTAAGACGGGCCTTGCTGAGTTGCTGGGGCTATGTTGAATTTATGATTCTCCTGCCTCAATCTCTTTAGTCTCTGGGATTACAGGTGTGCCCAACCCCAGACAGTCTTTGACTTAGTCAACTTGTTACCTCTGAAGCCATGACCTCAGTGTTTGCATTCAAATGATAGCAGCTCAGTTGCTCATGTTGCAGAAAAAAATATGTCTAGAACTATTTTGGTGATTTGGGGATCCTTGTTTTTGTGGCAAAACACTATGGAATCTCAATAATCTAATATGAATTTTTCAACTAAGTTTCCTCCTAACAGCATTCCAAAACAAGCATTCCTATACACCTACTATAGTTCCAAAATCTATTTAGACAAGTCACACCTCTCACTGAGTGGGCTAGGAAAAGGAGCACTTTTTGGATTCCTTTAAGATTTAGAGATTTGCATACCTACTGGTATATTAATCGTATAGAGACAGGAGAGAAAAATGAAGCCTCACTCTGGGTACCCAGAGCCTTATCTGAAGAGCTGTGAGAAAAACAAAGCTGAGAAGTAGAGTTAGAGAGGATGAGAAACCCCATTCCAGACAGTTTTTGTGGGTTTTTTTTTTTTTTTGGAGGGGGCACTTTACCATTGAGCCTGTTATTTTTTGAGACGGTGAGTGATTCTTATTTTGTTGTTTTCTTTCTTTCCTTTTTCTAATTTTAAAGATAATTTTTTTCACTAACCCCCCAAACAACCACCCACCTATTCTAAGAGCTGCAGATTGAGCATTCTCATATCCACCTATGAGTCAGAGTAACCTTTCATTCTTGTTGTAAATAAAAACATGAACCCTGTTCCTGCATGTTCTTCATAGGCTGTCTGTCTCCCCAGCACTTCCCTCTACCGCCAAGGAATGCACAGAGCATCTGAGTCAGCAGTCAGCTGCCACTAGACAAAACATGCAGGGTATTGTCAACTGGCAGTCTCACAGATGCTCTGGAAACCTGGCATCACTGTTTCTTCCTTTTCCCCCTTCAGACTCCTCACTTCCCTTGCCTTTTTCTTTTCATACCTTGATTTTTCTGTCCCCAGAATTTCAAGTACCTTCCTGCCAGGTTTCCTGGTCCCTAATGTTCCTGTAATTGTGAATGTTGATTTTTCCCAAGACACTTGGATGGGTGGTAAAGGAGAAGTCAGGGGGAGCATGAGTTGGCTTTGACATTCAGGAATGAGGGGAAATGGGTTGGTTTCAGGAATGGCTCTTCTGCCATTCTGCCTGGCTTTTCAGAACAAGTCAGAATGCAAGGTAAGTCCTCTTGGAAATGAGACAGTCCCAGTGCAACAGAGCCACCGAATAATGGTGTGGTACTCTAGATTTGTCTTCCAACTCCAGTGATCTGGCTCACAAAGAAGGAAAAGTAAGGCAGCCCAAGGGATTCAGTCTCGTGTAGTCTTACCTTGAATGCCTGTTGCATTGTTCCAGGAACCAACCTGCTTCTGTTTATCTGCTGTCATTAGTCCCTGCAGGTCATGATCCTTTAGCCTGGGCACTTAATACTTGTCTGCTGCCCATAAGCAGGTACTCTGCAGCTGAAACCTGTTAATTTAAAGGTGCATTGCAGCACCTTTAAATTTCCAACTACAAAAGATCGGGGCTGATTATTAAACAAGGTGTGCATCTGCTGTGGAACCTTATTTGGATCTTCTCTGTAGTGGTTAGTAGCTCTTGGCAAATAAATATTTATTTCAGAATGGGCTACAACCAGCCAATGGGATGGTAGCCCATGCAGCAGAACTATTCTTCTGACACAAATGCCCAAGACACTCTTGAGGGAGAGATAGGAGCACAAAGCAGGTGTTATGACCAGGGAAATGATTTTACAGATATCTGGTGTGGGGTTTTAATGTGTTAAATTCAACAAGAGAATAATGGTGTTCCCAGTGCTCTAAGTTCTGGCAAGAAATAGAAGGTGGCTGCTATTAGGGAACAAAGAAAAATTATTTTCTCCCTTGATGCAAATATATCAGACATGTACAGTGGGTTCAAATCTTGGAAACATTTCATTGTGACTGGCAAAATCAAGGTTGATTGTGAACACAGGTAGGATATGTGGGTCCAGGACAGCACAGTGCTGTCTGCTCACTGAAAAGCAAGTAAAATTGCAGATTCCCTACATAGAAGGCAAGATGTAGAGGGTCCCCAGTGTAGCAAATGCTATCTGAGGTCTTTGTTTCCAGTTGTTGGTTATTACCTGTTGTAGTCTTTCTTCTGCTGTTGCATAAGAACATCTGTTGTTTTTTGTTTTTTTTTTTTAACCCCTACTAGCTGTCTTTTAACTACCTGTCTTTTTAAGGTAAGTTTTGGCTTGTAAGAAAAAGAATGAACTCTTCTTAGGAACTTTAAAATGTTTTTCTTGCTACTACCTAAATCAAAACCTTTATTTAGGGGAAATTGAAGGCTAGTTTCCATTAATCTTGTTTTATTTATTCATCTATTGGTTTTTTTGTTTATTGTGGTGCTGGAGAGGGAACCAACCTGCTCATGCGTGCTGGGCAAACACTCAATCACTGAGCTATTCCAAGCCCCCTAATTCCATTTCTTGCTGAACTCTTGCCCACATGGATATTAGAACAAGCAGTATGTATAGTTCTTAATATCCAGAGCCAGGAGAGGCTGTTGAGTAAGTAACATTTTTTAAGGTGAGAAGCCGAATTAGTATATTTCAGATGATAAATTAATCATCTTCCACTCATCCTCCACAGTAGTAGAGAAGTATTGAGCTATTGACATGAAAACGTGAAAGGGAAAGGACAGTTCCTGTAGCTATGACTTTCTTTCATGAAGCTTAAGACACATTTGTAAGTGATTTGGTTTAATCATATGATATCATGGTGAGGTATGGAGAAAAACAGAGCGATGTTTCTCCTTCATAATGGGAAGAGCTTCCCAACAGAACCTTGTGAAACTTAACACCTGTTCTCTGAGAATTGATTGTATCAGCACCTGCAGCTTGGTGGCTGTCTTACATTATATCAGTAAATAGAAGGCCACTTTTTCCTTCTTTCCCCTCCTGAGGACAGCACATAAATAACTCCCTTCATCTTCTCCTATCCCCAAGAGTAAATCTTCCACAGTTCCAAGCCATGTTTGTCATACTAGTGGTAAATTGGAGGATGTGCCTTCTGATTGAATAATGTTGGATTCATGTATCTTCTGATTGAATAATGTTGGATTCAACTTGCTGATCTTATCTTCAGGATTTTTATGTCTATGTATGAGATTATTTATTTAATTTATTTAATAGATATAGGCCTTTTTAGATTGTCTATTATTTTTGTGTGAGTTTTGGCAGATTGTGTTTTTTCATGGAATTGATAAGCACCAGGAACAAGTTTTATGACCAGGAGAATTTCTTTAACACAAGGCTCAGAGAACTTCAGAATTGGGAGAGAGTTGTAGAAGTCATCAATCATTCCTTCTTGTCTTCCACAACAACAACAAAAAAATCAGTTTTATGAGGCAAAGTGACTTCAAGGGTCATGCAGCCTGTGTAGGCACATGTGGCTCAGGGTGGTGCCCTACAGTCACCCGGTCCTACATTCTTCATATGGCTTAGCTTGGCCCTTTGCCACCTACCTCCAAATTATGGTTGTAATAGTGATAATAAATAAAATGTGGTACAAAGGTGATGTGACAGACGCCAGAGAGAAAGTAGATGAAGAAACACATGAGGTGCCATCTTCGGCCTTTAAGCCTCTTTACAGCAGACACATAGAATGGCAAATGTGTTCATGTTTTGATAAGTGGAAGATATAGATGGCATCATTGTTATTGTTAAACATGATTATGGGCAAAATGGGGTGGCTCTACAATCTCCCCATCCTGCCATGTACCACACACAGAAGACTTCTCAAGTCTTTTAAATCTCTGCTGATACTACCACATCTGAACTTCCTGCTTCTTAGAACTTCTATGACACTACCCTTTTTCTGTGTTTCTCATAATCTTTTCTAGTGGGGTGGACTTTCTTCCAGCCTCTTCTTGCAGGTTTGTTCTTCCTAGAGCACATGTAAAGCCATGGCTTATTTCAGTTCCACTACCACTGTACACTAAGGACTCCCAAACCTGGTCTGCATCTCTAAGGGCTCCCTTGAACTTCACATTCATACTCCACTGCCTAGTATATGGCTATATTTTCCCCTAAGTAGCTCAGATGCGACAGATTGAAAAGGGAGTTTACTACCCCTGTTCACAAATGGGTGCTTTTATTTTTAATTCATTGCCTTGCTATCATGATTTCTCAGTGGCCTAAGAAGGAAAACTGGGAATCTTTTTGACACTTTGATCTTTATCAGTCCCTCATAGGACTGTCTGTGTTTTACTTTATTTCTCACATACTATACTTCTTCTTATGTGGCTAACATTTACTTACCCTGAAGACTCTGCTGTCATGTCTTAGAGGTTCATCTTTAATAAGGACCCTGCCTCCCTGAGATTTAGGTACTCTTCCTTATTCCTCTCTCTCTATTGGTACACTGTATCATTCAGTTTATGTGCCTGTCATTCACTAGACTATAAAATCCTTGAAAACAAAGGCTGTCTTACTCATCTTTCCACCTCAGTATCTTGGATGGTCCCTGGAGCATTTCAGTATGCATTTGTTGAATGAATGTGTTATCTCTTGAGATCTCTTCTTCAGAAAGATCAATTGTAGAAATACTGACCATTTCTTTCTTTCTTTTCGTTAGATTAAGGTGACAGTGTCAGGTGGATCAACTGCCATCCCACTGCCCCCTCTGTTGGGCAGTGCTGAGAGTGGGGAAGCATGGAAGAGAAGAAGCATGAGACCACGAACCAAGCTCATGTCCTCTTTGACCGGTTTGTCCAAGCCACTACCTGCAAGGGAACCCTCAAGGCCTTTCAAGAACTCTGTGACCACCTGGAACTGAAGCCTAAAGACTACCGTTCCTTCTATCACAAGCTCAAGTCCAAGCTTAACTACTGGAAAGCCAAAGCTCTCTGGGCAAAGTTGGACAAACGGGGCAGTCACAAAGACTATAAAAAGGGAAAAGCATGCACTAACACTAAGGTAAGGGCTTAACTATTCTCAGACTCTAAGGTCACTGACATGAGAGTTTAACTAGGTACCAGTTAGAAGAATTGAATAGAGATGGACTGGGTAAGATTCCCAGGCTAGGTTGATGCCAGGCAGATTCTAGCATCACTGTGTGTAAATATACTACATTTTGTGTAAATATACTACATTTTCTTTGTCCATTCATTACCTAAGAAATTAAGCTTATAATCTGTTGAAATTTTGCAGATCCATTACTCATGCTCATTTTTTTTTCTTTTAAAAAAAAATTTATTGGTTCTTTTTAGTTATATATAATAGCAGAATCCATTTTGATATATAAGCATGGAATATATCTTATTCTAGTTAGGATCTCATGGATGTATGTGATGATAGGATTCACTATTCACTGTAATGTTTTCATATATGTACATGGGGAAATAATGTCAAATTTATTTCACTGTCTTTCCTTTTCTTATCCCCCCGCCCTCCATTCTCCATTGTCTAATCTACTGCACTTTTGTTCTTCCCCTCACCCCATCCCCTTATTGTGGGTTAGCTTTCACATATCAGAAAACATTTGACCTTTGGTTTTTTAGGACTGGCATGATTGTCTCCAGATTCATCTATTTGCTAGCAAATGTCATAAAGTCATTCTTCTTTATGGCTGAGTAATACTCCATTGTGTGTAAATATACTACATTTTCTTTGTCCATTCATCTGTTGAAAGGTTGACTGTTTCATGTGCCAGACCCTTTTCTGAGCATGTTTCATGTATTTTCATATTGGACATTCAAAGTCTCAACTTTTTAAGAACAACCCTGAAGTCAAGCTTTGCATTTTGCTGAAGTTTCATTTTGAACCTCACCCTCTTAGGAGGATGCAGATCATTTAGCAAGGTCATGGATAGGTTAAAAGTCTTATCTATGCATAACTTCATAGTTCTTGACATGTCATCTTTATAAAACCATAACTCTATACTCAACTTCAGTTTGCCCTTGTGTGGGTAACTAGAGACCCATCCCAGTGGATTTACATTTGAATAGATATCATCAATAATATTCAAGAAATTCAAAAGCAAAACTTTCGTGAGTACTGGACTTTAAAAATGAAAGGAACTCAAAGTCAAATGTGTTGCACAGCTTTCTTCTGAGCATGCAGTACAAACTAATTAAGATCTTTGTTTAGCCTCATGCTGAGTATTTCTCTAGAGTATTGATTTTCAAGAGCATTTCCCTGGACTTTCAGTCTAGAAATGATGATTTTACATCTCTTTTAGCACATAAAATTTTGGCTTTTGAAAGTGGCCTCCAGAGAATTATCTGTGTGGTAAATCCATTCCAGGGCTCTGAAGATTTGTTGAACCATAATAATCTCTACCTCCCTGGACAGAAATCTGCTGAACATAGAAGCCTTTCAAAAGGTCCTCTCCTGTCAGTAAAAGATTAGATGTGATTTTCATATTATTTATTGAAATGATTACCCCTTTAAATATGTTACAGATATGTGGGCCTTACAGGCTGACCAAGATGAACATGTACTTGGTTCACAAGTAGCACTTGTTCAGTCTTTCCCATCCATAGCAACCACAGCTCTTCTTTCAAACTCTGCTGTGACACAGACAGGTTTGAAGTTTTTTTGGTAATGGGGAGAATAGCCCTCACTGAAGGTTTACAGGAATGATGGTTATGAGATTATAAAATATCTCTAGAAATATGTTTTAAGAGTCACAAGCTTTGCCTTAAAGCAGCTGTGTTTTGCAGTGTCTCATCATTGGAGCTGGCCCCTGTGGTCTCCGCACAGCCATTGATTTATCCTTATTGGGAGCTAAGGTGGTGGTTATTGAGAAGCGAGATGCCTTTTCCCGCAACAATGTCTTACATCTCTGGCCCTTCACCATACATGATCTTCGAGGTCTGGGTGCCAAGAAGTTCTATGGCAAATTCTGTGCTGGAGCCATCGATCATATCAGTGAGTAACACCAGCTGCTGTAGGATTCCAACCCTTCTCCCGCCCACTTTTCAGTAGACAGAGACAGGTAGGTTATCTGAGGAATTCCTGCTCAATAGCATAATTTGTTCCGATCTCATTGGTATCTATCATGTAGCAAGCATTCCCTATATTGAGTCAAAATATTTGCCTCTTGTAGTTCTGTGACCTAGAACTTTGAAATACAATGTTTGCCCTGTGCAAGGAGGAGGAGTCTGGCTTAAGGATGTCTGAGTTAGGTCTTGGACTATTACTGAATGCTTGCAGTGTGTGAGATAGGCAGAGGGGCTAGACTTTTGGAAACCGGTGCAATTTGGGCCTCAATCCTTTGGTGGTTCTTGGAGTAGTAGAAGTACACAGGCTGTGGCTCTCTGCAGTGTAATCTTTCATATGCTAAACTAACATAAGAAGAACATGCTACAGGGATACAGTCCTTATATTTAAAGAGAAAGCAGAGTTCTAGGTTGGTCATGAATGACAAGTCAGTAGTAAAATTCCTCTGGTTAGGTGATACTCACGAAGTCTACAGCCAGAATAGCTCTTGGCATTCTCTTGTCAGTCTTCAAACTCATTTGGAGTCTCTGTATTTTTGAAAAGGGTAAATACAAGTTAATGCAGTTGATTATTGTTTTCATGCCTGTAAGTAGCCTATCTGAAAACCAGTTCAGAACAGAAATTGTCTGCATTATGAAGTTGAAATCCTCTATTTAAAAATTGGTTATCACTAAAGAGTCCAGGAAAACTTTATCAAAGAAACTTTGGTCTGAGTACCAGACTTTTTGCTGTTTGAAGTGGTTGTGCCAATTTATTAAACACTGGCTAACAACTTGTACTTCCCTGACAGAAGTGCTTGGAACAATAGTTATCTGCAAAACTAAAATGTGTGCTAGCATGAGACTTAATGAGTCTTTGGGAGTGTGACTCAGAGGGTGATAGTTGTGGTAAGCTAAGGAAAATAACCAGGATGACTTAGCAGTGGACTTGCATGTGCTTCTAACAGATTAGTCACAGATTGAAGGTAAGTTTGGCTTTGAGGGATGACTGAGGGTCATTGATAGAGTGGACTTGTCTCCCAGTGATTATGAGTGGCAGAATTATTTTGGGACTGAGAGAGTCTTAGATCAGCAACTAGATTTCTATCTTTGTATACCTAGTATTGCTGCCACAACTGGCACTGGGTAGGAACTTTGGGCATCAAATAGTATATAAATCTCACCTTGATAATGAGTGAGATTTTCAATTATTTTGTGCCTCAGTTGCCACAACTGTAAATAAGTTGGGGTTCTGTTAAGAGGATAAGGCTGAATTGTGATTTCTTTTACCTGCTGAGAGAATGTGAAGGTCAGTGAGATAATAAGAGTAGAAGGGATGCCATGGATATTTCAGAAAGCAATACAGTGGCTCCATATCAAGCTGTGAAAAGTGTACTCATGAGTGTACTCCTGTGTCCTGTGGTAGGTGCCATGTCCCATTACGACTATAGATACTACTGAGAATAGCATCTCTGACACATCAGGGGAAGCTAGAAAGGAGAGTCTCCTGGTGGCCACAGTCTCATGCTGTCTCCAAGTTTTCTATTGTTTAGAATACCTAACTCAAAGATGTAGGTGGCTTTAAAGTCTCTAGAGCATCTCTTCCACTGGTTGGTATTTACCCTTAAAAAGAAAGAAGTTAGAGAACATGGCATAGAAAATGTCTCCTGCTCCAAAAGACTTTGGAGAACCTGAATAGACTATGCATAGGAGAAAGGGTGGGAGGGAACATGAGGAGCAACTACTGGTGTGTTCTTTCTTCTCTGTGTGCTCTTGCAAACATGTAGTCTTTGTATTTACCCAGGTATACGTCAACTCCAACTAATACTTTTGAAAGTAGCCTTGATCCTAGGCATCGAAATACACGTCAATGTAGAATTCCAAGGACTTGTACAGCCTCCTGAGGATCAAGAAAATGAACGTAAGTTGAATTGGAAAAATGAAGAAAGCTTAAAATGGCATTTAAAGGATGAGAACAGATGAGGTAAAAGGAGAACATGGGAATAATCTGCCAGTGTTTTTCAGAACTAGTTAAAGGGATTTCTTTGTATAGTCTGTGCCTTTGAAGTTTACTGTTAAAGTTGAATAAGGAGGCCTTTTGTTAAAATTTTTGAATTTATTCTAATCAGTTATGCATAACAGCAGAATATTCTTCGATTCATTATACACAAATGGAGCACAGATTTTCACTTCTCTGGTTGTACACAAAGTAGAGTCACACCATTCATGCAATCATACATGTACCTAGGGTAATGATGTCCGTCTCCTTCCACCATCTTTCCTATCCCCATGCCCCCCAACCCTTTGCCCAATCCAAAGTTCATGAGGAGGCCTTTGACTTAGTCATTGCAGGCACTTGTACTATAGAAAAATCATATGATGGGGAAAGTCCCTTTGTAAGTTCTCTTCGGAGCTTCTTTCTCTCTGAAGTTTATACCCCATACTTTTCTATTTATTTATTTTTTTTTTAATGGTGAATTTTATCCATATTCTATCTTACCACAATTTTTTTTTTTTAAAGATAGAGTGAGAGAGGGAGGGAGAGAGAGAGAGAGAATTTTTAATATTTATTTTTTAGTTTTCGGCGGACACAACATCTTTGTTTGTATGTGGTGCTGAGGATCGAACCCGGGCCGCACGCATGCCAGGCGAGCGCGCTACCGCTTGAGCCACATCCCCAGCCCTCTATTTATTGTTTTTAGCTTGGAGTTTTGTGCATTCTGTATGCCTGGGTATCTAGAGATGATCTTAGAGATATGAATTTGGTCTGAGTAATGATCTTAATTTTGCATTTGGTCCACAGGGATAGGTTGGCGGGCACTGGTGCACCCCAAAACTCATCCTGTATCAGAGTATGAATTTGAAGTGATCATTGGTGGGGATGGCCGTAGGAACACCTTGGAAGGTATTGGCTTGTGCTCTACTTACTCTCTTCAGAGAAGAATAGAGGCTGACCTTGTCCCCAAGAGTCCATGTTCCTGAGAATTTGCACAAAAATGTGCTATCTTTTATTGTCGGGGGCAGGGGTACTGAGGATTGAACCCAGTGCACTTTTTCACTGAGCTACATCCTCAGTCCATTTTTTAATTTTTATTTTGAAACAAAGTCTTGCTAAACTGTGGAGGCTGGCCTCCAACTTTCAATCTTTCTGCCTCAGCCTCCCAAGTCTCAGAGATTACTGATACTTTGCCTTGCTGGGTTTCCTATTTGAATTGCATGGCATCTCAGCTTTCTTCCAGGCAGTGCTCACTCTGAGTATATTTTACAGGGTGCTCTTGTTAAGTACCTTGTTAAAGTACTAAGAGATGAGATATACTTTTTTTAAAATATTTTTTTAGTTGTAAATGGATACAATATTTTTATTTGTTTTTATGTAGTACTGAGGATCAAACCCAGTGCCTCACAGCGCGAGGCAAGCCCTCCACCACTGAGCTACAGCCCCAGCCCAAGATATACTTTTTGGGAATTGACAATGTAGAATGTAATTTAAGTCAGCACACCTGCTCCCCTTTTTAAATGGAATCCCTAGTACTGAATAGTATTCTGTTCAGTCAGATTTCAGATTGTTTATTAATGATGTGGGAGACCTGCCCTAAAAATTTTTCATTGAGTTTCATTCTCCACATTTTCCCTAATGTCTTCATCAACACCCTCCTCATTTGAAGTGATCATCTTTCTTCTCTAGCCAATTGCCACCTATGAAATTTTTTTTCCCTCCAGGATTTCGCCGGAAAGAATTTCGTGGCAAACTGGCTATTGCCATTACAGCAAATTTTATTAACCGAAATACAACAGCAGAAGCCAAAGTGGAAGAGATCAGTGGTGTGGCTTTCATATTTAACCAAAAATTTTTCCAGGAGCTACGAGAAGCCACAGGTTGGTATAGATTCCTCCAAAATAATAAGGTTAAACATTGAAATGGTTACTTATTACTTTTTTCTTGGGGGTTTGATAGGGTGGATGGTGCTTGTTATTACTGTTATGTCATTTGTCCTGCTTTTTCTTCACTCCTGTGCTTTGTTCTTAGCTTAATGGTCCCATATCATTCTGTCTCCTGCTCTAGCATTATCAGTCTTTAGCACAATGGCTAGGCTGCTCTAGATTTTGTTTTTATTTATTGTTTTGTTTTAAAGTATTCATTCTGCCTTCTACCAACTCATCCCCAATCCCTTACCTCTACATTGTGATGCTAAGTTATGGCACTGGATATAGCAAACTGCCAGTTGGTAGCTCTCTGGTTTTATTGAGAACCTAACAGATATTAAGTATGCAGTCTTCTTCCTGAGTTCATTTGAACTTGAAAGCAAACCATGTGACAGATAGGAATGACATTGTTGTATGATGGCTTTTGAATAGATGTATTTTGCTGCAACAAAAAAAAAAATATGTATTTTATTCTCTATTTTCTTTTTTTTTTTTAGAAAGAACTTTTTTTAATATTTATTTTTCAGTTTTCGGTGGATACAACATCTTATTTTATTTTATTTTTATGTGGTGCTGAGGATGTGGCTCAAGCAGTAACGTGCTGGCCTGGCACGAGCGGGGCCCTGGGTTCAATCCTCAGCACCATATAAAAATAAAATAAGATGTTTTTCTCTATTTTCTAGACTTGATTTCATTGCCTTCGTTTTTTTAGATGAATAGAATTAAAAAGACAATAGCTCATTCTCTACTTCCAGGCATCTACCCTGTTTTTGTTTTTGTTTTGGTACCAGGGATTGAACCCAAGGGCACTTAACCACTGAGCCACATCACCACCACCTCCCCTTTAAAAAAAAAAAAAAAAAAAAAAATTTACGTTTATTTTTTTTTTTATTATTTATTTTTATGTGGTGCTGAGGATCGAACCCAGTGCCTCACACATGCTAGGCGAGCGCTCAACTGCTGAGCCACAACCCCAGCTGCCCCCAAAGACTTTCTTATTTTTTATTTTGTGACAAGGTCTCACTTGGTTGCTCACAGCCTAAGTTACTTTGAACCTGTAATTCTCCTGCCTCAACCTCCTGAGCTGCTAGGATTATAGGTGTATGCAACCATGCCCAGTTTATGAGATTTCTCTAGTTCTCTAGCTTCCTTGATGACTCAAAGAGGTTTAATCTGTTAACTAAGCCATGCCCTCTTTAAGGATTACCCTCTTTTTTTTTTTTTTTCCAATTCTTATGTTTGTGTTAACTTTTGGTCATTGTTTTCAGAATAACTTAAGTTGAATTAATAATAGTACAGAGGGAAACAAATCTCCCCTTATTTTCATGAACTGAATAGGCAGGAAGAGAGAATCTGGACCTAAACATCTTCCTGCTTGGAATTTTATGATCCTGTCTTAGATAGACCCAAGTAGTCTCTCTGGCTGCCCTACTCAGCAAACTCCTATGCATGTTTGTTTTCTGGTTGCAGGTATTGATTTGGAGAACATCGTCTACTACAAAGATGACACGCACTATTTCGTTATGACAGCCAAAAAGCAGAGTTTACTGGACAAAGGGGTGATACTGCATGTGAGCAATGGATCTCTTTCAAACCACTTTTGTTGAATTTCTTAATATGATCACCAAGAGAAAGGGCTTTATTGTCTGATGGGATTTTTCTGCAAGGGAATAAAGATGAGCATTGAACACATCTCCTCAAATCACTGATGGTTTTTAGTTTAACTTTGAAAAAAATATTTTTATTATGGAAAATTGTTAATTTAACAGAAATAGGGAGAATAGTATAATGAACTCTTATGCCCATTCTTTAGCTTGAGCAGTTATTAACATGGCCAATATTGTTTCAATAAAACCCCACTCCACTCACCTCTCCTGCCATTGGATTGTTTCAAAGCAAATGTAAAGAATCATTTCTTGCATAAATAGTCAGTTTAATTTTAGGTGACTTTGTTTGAGATTATAATGAATTTCATGTATGACCAATTATTGGTTGGTCAGTAGATCTTTTTTTGGGAGGGAAGTGATAGAGGTAAGAGAGTTCAACCAAGAAGCAATGCTTGGTGCTTATGACAGCCTGATTATGGCTCTGGTTTTACTGTGGCAACACTGAATTGGTATATTTAGGCTTTGTTCAGACTGAACAACAAGGGCCTAATGTCCATCTTTAGCCAGCCTTTTTTTTTTTTTGCAAAACTAATTGTGTGGAGATAATCTGAAATCAGAGAGTTGCAAGGTGGATGGTTTCTTAAGGAAAGTGTCTTAAATCTTAGTTGGTCTCATTGGTCTGAATATGGGAATTATTTCCCCTGTGTGATAAAACAGTTAGAAGCAAATAAACACCAGAGGTGTTGATTTAGGCTTGTACAATTCCCACCAGACTCAAAGCTGAATCTCAGGGAGCCCTTTGTCTTTGTAGAATGATAATGAATCAAGTCCTTTTAGTCTGAGTCACACTATTGCCATATTGAGACCAAATGAAGAATGAGCTGAGGAGCACATGCTTGCAGCACAAAGTCTCCTTTCCACCCATGAACCTTGTGTCTGTTTCTCAGCATAGCAGTCCTGTATATATGCAGGGAGAAACAGGACAAAGCAGTTTGTATAGCCCATTCTGCCAAAGCAGAAGCAAGACATACTTGGCTGGATGCTTTATAAAGTGTTCATTATCTGGGGCTATTTTATTGTTATCAATAAGAACTAGCCAGTAAAGCAGTTGAGATGCCTGGGACTAAGTTAAGACTTAAATTTACCATCTGGGCAGAGCTGTGGTTGTCAGTCAAAAGTAGATAAGAGCAATCTAGACTGTTAAATTAAGATCTGTTTTACTTTTTGTTTTCATTTTTTATAGGGCAGGAGCTGTGCCTTCTGTGAGTGCTGTTTATAAACTAAACCCACTGTAGCCATTTAATGTTGAACAAGCAGTATTTCTAGAACCAACCAGAGTGTTTGTGTTTTGACTTCTGACATCTTATAGTTGTAACTGAAAGTACCATCAGTAATACTTGGAAACTGAGTCCCCACTTCAGGAGAACAGAGACTTGGCTCAGTGTGCAAGAACCTCCAAAGCAGAAAAGGAGCTTTTTAGTCCCTTACTTAAAGCTCTTTTTCTCTCATTTTTGTTTTTTCCTGTTGGTGATTTTCTATAGAGCCTTACAGAATCTTATATATGATTTTGAAAACCTGTGTTCCATTTTCAGTTCATTCCTTCCCATCCTCCTCAGCTACCAGTGTTCCTAGTGCCACATCTCTTTGGCACTGAAGCTTTTCAGGTTCTTCCTTTAAGCATGATGAGCTATGCAAGTCTGAGTTCCCAGCTGAAAAAAAAAGCTGTTTGCTATTCAAAAGATAATGATTATAGAAGATAACATAAACCATTAAATACTTTTTCAGCTTACAGAAATTATTTAATTTGTTATTCAGAACAACTCTGTGAGGTAGGTAAGCCAGGACCAGAGGAGTAGCGACTTGCTCCAAGCAAATAGAAAAGCCAAGACTGTTTTTAGGCAGCAAAGCCTATTTACTCTTAGAAACACCCCTACCCAAAAACTTCTTTTTACTTTGTGTACAAGCTTGGTGGAATATTAAATCACTTTAAGGGGAAGGAAAAGCTGTGGAACTAGGTTATGTCTAACATTTTCTGTTCAAGTCAAGCCATCCCTGCCTGGGTTTTTCCATCTTGTACCTCTTCTTTCTCTGGACAGGACTATGCTGACACAGAACTCTTGCTTTCCCGGGAGAACGTGGACCAGGAGGCATTGCTAAACTATGCCCGGGAGGCGGCTGACTTCTCCACGCAACAGCAGCTGCCCTCTCTAGATTTTGCCATCAATCATTATGGGCAGCCTGATGTGGCCATGTTTGACTTCACTTGTATGTATGCCTCTGAGAATGCAGCCTTGGTACGGGAACAGAATGGACACCAGTTATTAGTGGCTCTGGTTGGGGACAGCCTCCTAGAGGTGAGTACTAAGGGAAACAGCACTTTATAGTAAAGGCATTACTGAGGAACAGTAATAATGAGGAGCAAATCTGGGTATACTGGCTGTAGAGTGAGCATCAGCAGCATAGGCAAGACCTCTGCAGGAGTTATACCAACCAGGAAAAAAATAATGACATTAAGAATGGTTAGAAATTTTGCAACTTTTATAACTTGCCTCTCTACTAGTTTGTGAAATGGAGATGTCCAGAGTCTGAATAGTTGCCAAATACAACTGTTGGCAGCACACTTTCTTTTGTTCTTCAGTTTAGCTTAACTCTTTTAAAAATGATTTATTAGCTGGGTATGGTAGTATTAGCCTGTAATCTCAGCTACTTGGGAGGCTGAGGCAGGAGGATTACAAATTCGAGGCCAGCATTGGCAATTAAATGACAAAATAAAATTAAAAGGACTAAGGTTGTAGTTCAATGGTAAAGCACTTGCCTAGCATGAGCTAGGCCCCAAGTTCAATCCCCAGTACTGAAGAGAAAAAAGATAACTTATTGTGACTCTGTCTTGTATCTCTTTCATAGCCTTTCTGGCCCATGGGAACAGGAATAGCCCGGGGCTTTCTAGCTGCTATGGACTCTGCCTGGATGGTACGAAGTTGGTCTCTAGGAACCAGCCCCTTGGAAGTCCTGGCGGAGAGGTAATAAGTCTCTTCCATGAAAAAACTGGGAAAAAGGAGTGGCTTATTCCTCAGGCTGAGTAAAAGTTCTTCCTCCTTCTTTCTCTCTTTCTTTATTCATTAAAGATATTTTTATATGTAAGAGAGGAAAGGTGAGGCTGGGGCTGTGGTTCAGCAGTAGTGCGCTCACCTAGCGTGTGTGAGGCCCTGGGTTTGATCCTCAGCACCACATAAAAATAAATAAATAAAAACAAAGGTATTGTGTCTAACTACCAACTAAAAAAAAATAATAAATTTTTTTTTTTAAAAAAGAGGAAAGGCAAGATATTTCATAAAATTTTAGAAACCTAAAGATGACCTAATGGGACTGTTCTCTTGTCCCTTTCTAAATGAATTTATTATTAGAAAATAATATCTGGAGTCTCTGTATACCCTCTGGTTCTTTTATGACCATTACATGAACAAATACTTTAAAAGTGCAATTTAGATCATCCTGACCTTAAGCTAGAAAGGCTTAAACTGATGAAGTCATTGTCGTAGTCAGACCATGCTAACATAAGAAACGGAAAGGATTGAAAGGATAACGCCAAATTGTTTTAAAACATTTCTCAAACCTTAAGGCATTCTGGCTTAATGTGGTGACAGGTTCTCTTTTTACCTAATTTTTAAAATTAAAGTATATATTGGCACACTTAAAAACACAATAGTAAATTAGTTGCCTTTTAAATTAGACCAGACAATTATCACTCCCCATAGCATTGTCCTGTTCTTCTCTTTGGCTCTTAACTAATCCATTGTCCTTGAAATCACTGAGTGGTGGTGGTTCTGAGAAGCTAGGGTTGACGTAGAGTCAAAGAAAACTTTCCAAGAATGAAGATATATTGTATACATCAGATAATTTGGTGGACTGTCAAAACAAATATTACAAAAAGAGGAAAATGTTTATTGTGCTTGTCACTCTATGTTGTGTGTTATTGCAGGGAAAGCATTTATAGGTTGCTGCCTCAAACCACTCCTGAGAATGTGAGCAAGAACTTCAGCCAGTATAGCATCGACCCTGTCACTAGGTATCCCAATATTAATGTCAACTTCCTCCGGCCAAGCCAGGTAAGAGCATTCTAGTCAGATATGTGCATCTGGGCCTATTCTCAGGACTGATCAGAACTCTAATAGATCAAAATGTATATAATTATGTTTGGTTTTAATACCATATACACTTTCAGTAATCCCATATACCTATACATAAACATAATTTCAGTAATCCAAGTCGGTATCTCTCTGAATTGGTGGAAGTAGGTATTATTTTCCATCAACATGTTGAGCAACTAAGGCATGGAGTTGTTGAATACTTACAGAAGATAAAATGTGACCAAAATAGTGTACCTAGGACTTCATCCCATGCCTCTTAATTTAAATCACATACAGTCAGGGAAAGAGCGTTGATTGATTGATTCAGTATTCTGAAGATGTGACTTCCACTTGCCTGTTGGTCACTAATCACCTGTGACTCAGATGGGTCATTTTACTATGTCTGAGCCTCAGTTTTTCAGCTGAGAAGTGGAATTCCTACTCAAGGGATCATTGTAAGTGCAAATGAGATTGTTCTCTGGAAGGAACATTGGAAAATAAAAACATAAAAGTAGAAGATATTGTTATTATTGTAAACCAATTATTTTTTGGTTCTGTTGTGTTCTCAGAAACTCTGAACCTTCATTACTGTATTGAGAATGACATTTTACAAAGCATAACAATCCCTAAGAATAGAATTTTAGAAAGGAACCTATTTGATATATTTTCTGTGTTCCAGAGTAATTTTTTGTCTTCTGTATATATGTGGTAAAATGTTTATAAATCCTGTTAATGAGCAGGCTTAATTGTCCAACAGAGACTCACCAGAGGGACCTCTGTGATTGAGTAGTTAACTTTCAGCACAATTTCTAACAGTTGCTATGTATTTGTTTCTATATAACCTAACCCATTCCATAAAAGATTTAAAGGTTATCACCTTAACTTCTGTCTGAACTTTACCATGGGGTTGAGGGTGTAACTCCCAGTGGTAGAGTGCATGCTAGCATACAAAAGGCTTGGGGTTTGACCTACAGCACTGCCACCACCAAAACAAAAAATACATAAATAAACATACACACAAATAAATAAACTTAATCCACTTTCCCAGTCTTTCATCGCAGTCATTCTGTTTTTAGGTGGGAATTTGTTCCATGGTGTTTGATTTTCCTTCTTTTCAATTTTCTGCCAGGTGCGCCATTTATATGATACTGGAGAAACGAAAGATATTCATTTGGAAATGGAGAACCTAGTGAATTCCCGAACTACCCCAAAGTTGACTCGCAATGGTGAGTTCTGGAAATGGTTTTTTGAAAGACAGGTAACCCTTTTCAGAGAAGTCTACTCAAAAGCCATCACATGAACATAATACCATATATGGCAGTGGTTTTCAGCCAGGAGTGGTTTTGCCCTCCAAGAAACATTTGGTTGTTCCTGAGGACATTCTTGGTTGTCATGACTTGGGGAGGTTGCTACTGTTTCTAGGTGGATATAATCCAGCAATGTTGCTAAACCTGCTAATGTACAAGAAAGGTTCCCACAACAAAAAATTACCTTGGGCTAAGGTGTTATGAGTAGAGATAAATTAGATACAGATGCTGGAGAGGAAAAAGAGAGTGTGCATACTACACCCACTTTTAAGTTTTGTGGGGAAACTTATAGAACATGTGGTAGCATTTTAGCTGGGGCCTGTGGTGTTGCCATTATACATGTTAAAGGCAAAAGCCATTCCATATTTTGTGTGTATTGAGAGGTCCCTGAAGTTTTTATTTGACATTGAGTACACCTGATCAGCTATAATTAAGATAGACTGGAGAAGGGAAATACATGACAGGCTAGGAGATTAGTTGGAAATACATTGCAATAATCAAACTACACGGGATGAACCCTAAATCTGATACTGAGCTGGAAATAGAGAAGGGAGAAAGTGGTAGATCACAGTTAGAAAAACTTGGACTTTGGGGCCAGGTGCAGCTGGGTCTCAGACCAAGTCTTGCCATTTGCAAAATGTGTGGCCTTGAACACATTAGTTAACACATCTGAACTTCAGTTTCCTCATCTTTGAAAAGAGAATAATAATAGCTTCCTCCTATGTTGATCATGAAGATTATGTGACATATATAGAGCACTTATTACAATGCATAGCATGGAGTGGGTAATCAAAAACATTGCCCTTATTAATTATGTATGAGAGACTATTTTTTAATTTCTTGTTTCTTTTTTAGTTATATATAACAGTAGAGTGTATTTTGACATATCTTACAAACATGGAGTATAACTTCCCATTTTTGTGGTTGTACATGATTTGGGATTACACCGGTCATATATTCACATAAGAACATAGGAAAGTTATATCTGATTCATTCTACTGTCTTTCCCATTCCCATCCTCCTTCTCTTTCCCCACTTCCCACCTCCCTTTCCTGCCCATTGTGAGTCAGCATCCACATATCAGAGAGTACATTTGGCCTTTGTTTTTCAGATTGGCTTATTTTACTTAACACAGTAGTCTCCAGTACCAACCATTTACCAGCAAATACCATAATTTCATTTTTCTTTATGGCTGAGTAATATTCCATTGTGTATATGTACCACATTTCCTTTATCCACTCATCAGTTGAAGGGCATCTACATTGGTTCCATAGCTTAGCTATTGTGAATTGAGTTTCTATAAACATTGATGTGGCTGTGTCACTGTAGTATGTTGATTTTAAGTCCTTTAGGTATAAACCTCAGAGTGGGATAATTGGGTTAAATAGTGGTTCCATTCCAAGTTTTCTGAGGAATCTCCATACTGCTTTCCAGAGTGGTTGCACCAATTTGCAGTCCCTACGTGAGAGACTATTAAGAAGCCAGAATCAGTGGACTTTGCCAGTTGATTGCCCTTAGGGGCAAAAGATGGGTACTGCATCAATCTCAACAAGGAAGTGGGAGGGTGAGAAGTTTTGAGTTCCGTTTTGGACATTTTGAATTTGATGTGCTTTGGAGATATCAAGATGAATATATGAATCAACAGGCAGATTAAAACATTTTCCTTTCTCCATTGGACTGTTGTATTCATCAGCTTTCTATTGCTGTGACAAAATACCTGAGGTAAACCAACTTAAAGGAGGAAAGATATATTTTGCCTCATGGTTTCAGATTATAATCACTTGGCTTCGTTGTTTTCGGGACTGTGGTGAAACAGAACATCATGGCAGGGAGCCTGTGGTAGAACAAAGCCTTATGGTGGCCAAAAAGTTGCCCAGCACATATTGGATGTATGAATATCTAGACTTGGGAAGCATCTGAATAAAGTCAATATCTGAGCTAAAAGATAGCACTAGGGGTAGTTCTATGTGTAATCTCAGAATATATTTCCTGTGAAAGACTTAACCAGGACTTTTATGATAGCAGTTTTATCTTATGTTCACAAATCTCTAAATTACTTAGTGCCAAGCTAAATATTTCCAGCTGCCTTAGGGAAGGGAACAGACTTTCTTGGACACAAATAGGAATTCACAGATTCTCTCAAATGATCCATATCATAGCTCTTCCAAGGCATGATCATTCTGGTTTTAGAAACATGTCAATGAACTGGAAAACATCCAGGTGTATGTGTTTGCCTACTCAGTTTCTCAAGATGTGATCATTTATAATACAGGGTACCAAACTGGGTCTGGAGTATTGTTATAGTCTGGGGTCCTCAGCCTTTGTCAATGTAACCATACAGAGTGTCATCACTTCACAAATTGTTCAGTATTTTAGAAATTATAAGAGCAAGTCTTTAATTATTTTTACTTTAAGGTGCTGCTAGATAGAATAGAATCTCTCCAGTGTTGCTTTGGAGGAAAAGGTTTCCTCAGACCCAGCAACCCTCCAGGGAAATCCTAAGACTGCTCTGCAGGTGAGGGTGACAGCTCAGTAGTGGTACTCCTCCATCTAAGCCAGTTTTCAGGAGTTTCCCAGGGACACTGGGCTTCAGCACAAGTACCCAGTTGTGAAATTTTAGTCTCTTCACAGGCTGGATGTTGACTTTAGAATATGAGTATATTGGTACCTAAAATTCCAGGATCATGATACCAGTTATATAACATTGTCCTCACTGTTTTCTTTTGAAGTCTAGAAATGACTGTTTTTGTCCCTACCTTTAGTAATTTTTCGAACTGGATATGTGTACTGCAAAGCAGATCTTATATTAGTGTTGCTAGGTAACCACACTTCCAATAATAGTTGTTTTATTGTTTTAGAATCTGTAGCTCGTTCAAGCAAACTGCTAAGTTGGTGCCAAAGGCAGACAGATGGTTACGCAGGAGTAAATGTGACAGATCTCACCATGTCTTGGAAAAGTGGCCTGGCTCTATGTGCAATTATCCACAGATACCGTCCTGATCTGATGTAAGTCATGACTGTACTTTTTATTTTATATCCACCAAAGATCTCAGAGCACCCTGCTATCAAGTAGTCAAATTTTGTACTCTTTCCAAAATGAGGTACATAGTGGGATGCATTCTCCAGAAGACTATGATTTGATTTAGCTATATTTAAAACTTCATATGTCAAGCATTGTGTTGCTCAGTCCAGGAACAATTAGCTGAGTTGTGTGTTTTGTTTGTTAGTTTTAGTACTGGGGATTAAACAAAGGGGCACTTTACCGCTGAGCTACATCCTCACTACATCCCTAGTCCTTTTTATTCTTTTTTTACTAAGTTGCTGAGGCTGGCCTCAAACTTGCAATCCTGCCTCAGCCTCTCAAGTTGCTGGAATTAAAGATATAAACTACTGCACCTGGAAATTAGCTGGGTTTTTAAAAATCACAGCACTCAAAGTAAAAAATTGGCTTAACACCCACCTGGACCTGTTAACTTTACACAAGGGAAAACTCTGTTTATTGGCCCCAGGTTGAACTCTTCATTTTGGCCAGCCATCTCAGATGCTGTTGGTCACATGGGAAACCTGGCTAGAACACTGAACACTTGGCTAGCTCAAAACAAATATGTCACTGCCAGTGAAACCGAAAACAATGAATACTTACCAGTTTATGATGGTTCATTGATATTTTCTTGTCAATGACTACACTTTTTGCAAATATAATTCTGTCAGGGGCTGGGGTTGTGGCTCAGTGGTAGAGCACTTGCCTAGCATGTGCGAGGCCTGAGTTCGAACCTTAGCACCACATAAAAGTAGATAAATAAAATAAAGGTATTGTGTCCAACTATAACTAAAAAAATAAAATAAAATAAAAAATTCTGTCAAGCTCATGAAGTTCATGTCATCTTACCCAGTATACTAGTAACATCTCTTTTGTCGATTCTTTGTCCACCTATCTACAGAATCAGTGCACTAGGCTTACCCCAGGTCAGCTGTGGTGACTGGATTTCCCTCACAGGCATTCATAACCATAGAAGCCAAACAGAAAGATTCAGAAATAGAAGTAGAGTGCATTGAATTATTCTGGCTGCCTGTACCTTTTATCATTAGGTCCATTTAATGGCCTACTTCTTATTTATTTTAAAATTGCTTAAGAAATCCTAAAGTACATAGTCCATATATATATATGAGATAGTTATTAAACTAAAAAGGCAGATCTAATAAAAACAGCTTTGCACAGTGTAGAATTTAAATGGAGAGGACTTGAGGATATGGCTCAAGAGCACTTGCCTAGCATGCATAAGGCCTTGGGTTCCATACCAGGCTGTAAAAAGAAAAGAGTAGAGGATTTCTAATATGCTTCAATTAATGTAAGTGACCCCCCAATGTTCCTGCATTCAACTCATCCAGAAATTGGTAGAAGGTAAATGAAAATAGTACTTATTCACTCCCACAAAAGAAAGGAGTGGGGAGGGAAAACAGCTTGACAAAAAAAATTATGACAAAAGGCACAGAAGGGCTTCAGAAGATGAGGCAAGTGATAAGTTCTTTTCCAAATGGAGGGCAAGAAAGGGAAGGATAATGACAGGAAAAGTTGAGAGGACCTAGTGGATGGGTTACAGGGGTGAGTATGGGCCAGAGGAGACACATTCCTGTTAGATTACACCAAAGCGTGCCTGGAGAAGGCCCAGGGGAGTTACAGCAAACATAAAGCAGTGAGAGAAAAGGAAGTAGGGTGTTTTTTGTTTTTTGTTTAATGAAAAAATGCCACAGGTTCAGTAGGTTAGCACAAAGTAAGGGTTTCCAGGTAATCTGAAGTCACCTAAACAAGCATGTTGGGGCTTGGGATATAACTCATTTGGTAGAGTGTTTGCCTAGCATTCACAAGGTCCTGGGTTCAATTCCCAGCAAAACCCCTCCCCCCCAAAAAAATAATACTGTCAGATATCACTCTGAATAGCAAGAAGCTTCAAACCCAATAGGAAATATTTGTTAATCTAAATACTTGGGAAAACTCAGGAAATTTAGCAATGGGAAAATCTTATGTAGGTTTTGGAATTTCCCATCAGGAGAAAGCTGTGTAAGATTTACCAGAGCTGATTTTTAGGACATTAGCAGCTTGCCAGGGCCAAGGGCCATGGTGGTAGTAGCTTTGGCTATTAGGAGCAGTCTGATCCAGATAGGATTCATACTACTATTTGACATTCATTTATATGTGGGCACTTGGGTATAGATGAATCTATATTAAAGATAGTTCCTGTACTGAGTTTACATTTTGTGTCCCTGGAAAGATGAGAGGAGCCAACTTTTTCCCTCTTTTTCTCCTTTATTGGATAGCTCTTTAATCATTTCTTCTTGAGGATGCTTTGCATTTCTTTAGTCAAAGGAAGGAGAATAAGAGGTGAGAAAAACAGGTCTGCTCTCAGATCCTAGTGATGCACTGCTCCCTGGATTTTAGTCAGAAAGACCAAGAAATGACTGTGATCCCGTGATATTGTATGTTCTGGTTTGAGGACAGTCAGCCCAACTTGATCTATATTCCTTGTCCTGTTTCTCAGAGATTTTGATTCTTTGGATGAACAAAATGTGGAGAAGAATAACCAGCTGGCCTTTGATATTGCTGAGAAAGAACTGGGCATCTCTCCCATCATGACAGGCAAAGACATGGCCTCTGTTGGGGAGCCTGACAAGCTGTCCATGGTGATGTACCTGACTCAGTTCTATGAGATGTTTAAGGACTCACTCTCCTCTACTGGTAAGGAGCTGGTGGGTGTGATATGGAATTCTTAGTATCCTGTTGAGCTATTGTCCAGGCATTTCTGTCTTTCCTTCCAATTGTGCCCTTCATCAGTACCACTAAATACAATACCACCAAGCTCAGGCTTACTCTGTTTCTACTGCTCAATGTGGAGGCAAAGCAGATCTGTGTTTGCTGAGATCCTAATTCCAACTTGGGATAGAAGGCATTTCCTTCTACGCAATATAACTGAAATGTTGTCTCAGTTATCAGTAGAGCTCTCTGAAAATTGCTTCATTATTTTTATCTTTTCTAGTCTTATGTTCTAAACCATTCATTATTTTACAAAGTTTTTTTACTTAATCTGTAAATATGAAAAAATCATTCCTGCTCAAACTTTTTTTGTTCCCCTCAACTCTCCTGCCTTCTCCTTCTCCTTTCCTCAGAACCAGCCCTTCTGAAGTGGTTCATGTTTGTGGCCTCTATTTACTACCTAAACTTTATAACACTTTGAAATCCATCTTATCTTTGTACTACTCTCTCAACACAGTTTTCTACAGTTAGGAAGAATCATCCTTCCATATTCTTTTCTCATTCTCATGTAGTTGCCTCTTCTGCATCATTCAACACTATAGAATAAATGTTCTCTTCCTTGAAATTCTCTCTTCTCAGCTTCTGTAACAGTGCCCTACTATTCTTTCTTCTGTAACTGTTCCCTCTCTAGTTTCTCTTTCTACCTTTTAGGGTTTCCCAAAAATCTCTTGTTGGCTCTTTGCCTGCTGCCTCTACTTATCATGGGGCTACAAAAAATATTCTTATTGTCATTTATTGCCCTGTGAAATAAATGTAGTATAATGTCTAACAGTGTTGACCGTGGTATCTGACCTGAATTTGTATCCCAGTATTTTCACTTGTTTGACCTAGGGCAAGTTATTAAATTTCCCTATGCCTCATGTAAGTAATATGTAAAATGGGATAATATACATAATTACATTATGATATGCTACAAAGAATGTTTGGCATATGGGACCACTTAATAAATTTTAGTGATTTCTTTTTATTAGTTTCAGTTACTATTGCTACTAGTAAAATTTTGGAATCCATAAAGTTTATGGTACCACTCCTGAGTGTCTTCTAGTCCATGACTCTTGTAGGCATCTGAGTCTCTTCCCGATTACATACGCTATTCTTAAAAGCGAAACATGCAACTCTAACAAAAATATTCCCATTTAGGGGGAGCCCCTTAGTATACTCAGCTAAGACCATGGCCTCTACATCTACCCAAACCAATGACCCTATTAGGCTCTGCTCTGCTCTCTCCCTTTCCCTCTCTCTGTCCTGAAATTTTTATTACCAAAGTAAGGCTTTAGCACTTAATGACCTTAAAAAAGCAGAAGGGCAGTTTTTTGTAATGGAAGTATACTGAGGAAAGAGTTTGTTTTGTTAATGTGGGTGGAAAAGAGAAGGGTTAATGTCCAGACTCAAACGTGCATTTCCTTTGTGGCATTTCTACAAAGAGCTGCCTTTAGAGCTTCCTGAGATTCCTTTCCATGAGCCCCTCGAAGAAGACAGAGTGGTTCTGGTCAGGACTTCATAGCACCCTCGAGGGCTGTCCTTGAACACTGCTGATTTCTCTTTACAGACACCTTGGACTTGAATGCTGAGGAAAAAGCAGTTCTGATAGCCAGCACCAAATCCCCTATCTCCTTCCTGAGCAAACTTGGGCAGACCATCTCTCGGAAGCGTTCTCCCAAGGTACCAACACGTGGGAGTCATTTTTCTAGTAACTGCAAGTTAATGACAAAGTGTAGTGAACAGAATGATGTGGCTTCCTTCTTTTCTTGTTGCAGGATAAAAAGGAAAAGGACTTGGATGGAGCTGGAAAGAGGAGAAAAACTAGTCAATCAGAGGAGGTGAGATTCATCTGGGGATTTGCTAGAACTATTACACTAAATTTTCCTTTTTGGGGTTTAAATTGTTAATTCCCAAATTGGTTTCACTAGATCCTTTATGAGAACTTCTGTGAGCAGCTTTTTCTGTGGATCTTTATTTAATTTTCTAGAGAACAACCAGGAAACATATATACACATGTGCACTTAGACCTTCCTATCTCTTTGGAGTCACACAGTTTGGCCAACTACAGAGGCTTTTGTGGGAAATGGTGATACCAGCACAAGTCCAAAAACTCTTATAATGCCCCATGTGCAAGGGTCTTATTGACTATTTGGAGATTGGTACCTTAAAGAGAGCTGTTAAACTCAACCTAAAGCTACTGTGTGGATCCTGATTACACTTCTTTAAGGGAGGAGGAAGTAAGTGAAGGGTACCTATAATAGTCTGGTTCTCTGGTACTTGCCATTTGTCAGGAGGAAACTCCCAGGGGCTACAGAGGAGAAAGACCAACACTGGTGAGCACCCTGACAGACAGGAGGATGGATGTTGCTGTTGGAAACCAGAATAAAGTGAAGTACATGGCAACCCAGCTTTTGGCCAAATTTGAAGAAAATGCGCCTGCACAGACTACTGGTATAAGGAGACAGGTAAGCACATCTCCCACCCAGACTGGCCAAGTCATACAGGAAGGAGGACCTTATCAGTGAGACAGACCGTGTCGCTCAAAACTAGTGTCTAATTTTCTCTTGTCTGACTGTGATAGAGATATGTATTTCCTAAGCTCATTTTAGGCATTCAGTGCTGCTTTATGTTCTGCATAAGTCTGAGGCATCTTTAACGAAGTCAAGTGGGATCTAAAAAATATATGATTATACATCTATCTATATACGGGTATAAATTCACACACACATATTTAAATTATAAAATAAGTATGTGCTTATTGATTAAAATGCTGAAAAGCATAGTAAAGATAACTGAGGTACCTATAATTTTGCTAATATACTCCTGCATTGCTTTCTGGTTTTCTCCCCTCCCCCATGCTTTCTTGTTTTCATAATGGTGGTCATTTTAACATGAATTTTTCTATTCTGCTATTTTCATTTAACTTTAGGCACATTCCCATGTGTTCCCAAATCTTTTTGGCATTTTCCAAAATGTGCTGAGTCATTCTAGTGTTGGTTGTTTTAGTTTTTCCCCATCTTTCATGATGAAATAGAGGTAACCATTCTTGCAATAAAGCTGTTTTTTTGTGTGTTGCAAAGTGTTTTTCTAGGATATTACTCAGAATGTGAACATTTGGATACTAAATTACACACCCCAGTTTATGCATGAGAGTACCCAGACAGTATTTGACCTGAGGTGTTCTTGTTAAGTCTTTTCACTGCCTTGCTTCACCAAGGCTTCTTACAAAAGTGGGCATTGGGATTTTGATATTTATACTGAAAATTCCTATAAAACTCCCTGATAACCTGAAAGGTTATCCAAAGGACAGGAGGCCAATTCTTTTTGTTCTCTTTGTCTCTTTATCTTCTCCATACTCTTATCAACCATTGTCCCCATGAACCAGGCAGGTGGCACTGATTTTCTTGGCATCTGACCACATCTCATCTTTAGTTATTAGTATTAGTATTTGTACTCCTATCTTTTCATGTTGTGGCTTGCAGGAAAGATAGTATTATTCACTGGGAAACATTAGAGGTTGCAACCCCAGGTTCTCAGGCAGGCTAGAATGCCCTTTTTGGGAGGTAAATTGCTTCCAAGAAAAGGTTGCTTTCCTCATTAGTTTTCCAAATTAAAGTTAGTAGTTTAGACAGAGAGCTTTGGGTATAGGGAAAGAATAAGGAGAATCACAGCTTCTGTCTCTCTTATTTTTTTTTCCTTCTTTTTTGTACTTGCTTTTGGTTTGGGGGGCTCCTTCCTTTCCTTCCTTCCCTTCCTTCCTTCCTTCCTTCCGTAAATTCCACCTGCCTTCACAGTTCATAGATCAATGTCTGTCTTCCATGGGTACTTTTTTTTTTTTTCGGTGTCTTTTCCTACCTTAATGTATTTTATTTTGTTTTGTCTCCATGTCTGTCCCCCACCCACACTTGGCCTGTGTGTCACAGCCGACACAAGAGCGTGGGGTCAGCCAGCCGACCTGCTACCTGCCTGAGCAGGGTCTCCCTGCTCCCATCCCCCAGTGGAAACAGGTAAAGGAACTGCCCAGGGATTAGGATGGGGGCTGTTGCCATAGGTCTTTCCACTCTACTCCTGCTTCTGGGTCAGCCCGTGTTCATACCTGCCCTTGAGAAGCCTAGCTCACAAGGGCTAGAAGGCTCTGTGCTCATTTGAGCAGTAACTCTGAGAAAACATTGAACAGACAGTGCTGATTCAATTCCATGATTCAGTTAACTCCTTGGGATTTGAGAAATCAGTTTAAAAGGCAGACTGTTAATTTGATGCTGAAACTAGCTGAAGTGATTTGACAAGCTTTTTAGGTATGTCAGCCTTGGGGGCTTTAACTGTTGTAACATTTGTCCCATGTTAACTTTTTGCTAGCTTCTCTACTCATGTCCATTGCTGGGAGAATCTTGACTTCATCAGACCTGAGAATAGCGGGTAGAGGTGGGGCACTGGAGAGAGCCTTTCACATGAAATGGGGAAATGACAACCATGACAGTAGTTTTGAAGTATAGTTTTGTTTCAAACTTTGTACAAAGAAAGGTGTCATGGGCATTTTTCTTGGGTTTTGTCCATACTTGAAATAACTCTTTTTGCCTGCATGTGGAGTGTACCTGTAGTCCCAGCTACTTGGGAGACTGAGACAGGAAGGTTGCTTTAGCCCAGGAGTTCAAGGCCAGCCTGGGCAACATAGGAAATCTTCATCTCAAAAATGTATATAATAATGATTAACTAATAAAATATTCTTTGGGGGGACCACAGGTATAGCCCAGTGACAGAGGATTTGCCTATCAGGTGCAAGACCCTAGGTTCCATCCCTAGCAGTACCCCCACCACCTCACCCCACCCTCCAAAAACACCCTCTTTGACATTGTCACTAAAATGTTTTAGGATTTCCCAGAAAACTGCTCATCCTAACAGTGTAGAAAGAAACAGATAACAATACCTGGTTTTAGAAAACCTATCTGAAACTTATCTGAGGAATTGGAAGTCTTATCACAATTGAGCAAATTCCTGCTCTATAGAACCTGGAATAGCTTTCTCATAGTTTGATATCATGTAGAACTGATAGGATAATGATAGGTCAGATAAGCTGATCCTGGATTTTATTAGCATCTTCCACAGTTGGCCTCACTCACCTCTTGTGCTGTAGTATAGCCTCTGTTGACAGAATATGCTGAAGAACCTTGAATTGGGCCTTATTTAAATTGCATTCAGGAAAAATGTTACTTTCTAAAACTATAATAATATGCCACATGAAAGGCATGGCCCATAAGGCTAAGATGGAATCTTGGGAGTGGTGTCCAAACTCATAGCCAAAGTCAAACTTCCCTCTCTCTATGCTTAGGAGAGGTCTTCTGAAATGTTTTCATCAAAAATTTACTTGTATTTTATTTTCTTACCCTTGCTTGAAATGGAAGATAAGATTTGAAAAGTAATCTTAGTTGAGGATATTGAGGTGTGACGCAAATTCTAAACTAGATTCTAGAAACTCTATATAGACTCATAGAGGGTAGCCTGAGGTAGAAACAAAGTGGGAAGATCAGAAGCAATCTATGCAAGTGGGTGGATAGATAATCCTATATGTCATGTGCCTGGTATAGCTTTGGTGGGCTTACTGGGAAGTGTGGGGCAGTGAATGTGGCTTGAGACGTTGGCTGAGTCATGGCCTCAGTCCTGTGAAGATGGACTTATCAGCTCATAATCTGATGGTGCTGCCCTGAAGAGGCATCAGGAGCTTGGTTTTATGGGACTTCTTATGGATTGTCTGATAGCCTATAGCATTTTTCAGGGATTGGTATGGAGACTATGGTTCACCCAGACTTAGATAACTTGTAATCAGGTCATTATGGTCACAATCAGTGAAGTAGGGTGATACTAACAGGCCATCTGTTCAGCAGATTAAAACCCTTAAAGTCAAACATAGGTTCTAGGTAATGAGTACCAGAGATTATAGCTGGATAGAGCAACTAAGTAGATGGGTAAATAAGAAATCACAAGTAATGAAAACCTTGTTAGATCCTTATATGCTTTAGGTTTTATAAAGTTGGAGATGATGAATATTATTTGAAATTTATAATATTCACATAATAATCTTTTCCTGAGTGTTGGCCTCTAAATTTATCTCCTGAACACTAGAGGTGGATGCAATGTCAGGTTCTACAGATACCTAAAGAGACAAGAACTTGGGAGCACTTTGGCTGCTGCTTCTGTCTTGCCCTGATTGCTGGCCTCTCATCTCCCTTCAGGAACTGGGTGCTGACTGGCAGCACCTCATTGTGGCTCACTTTGTGCTTCTCTTGACATTGTTCCCACTGATGCAGGAGGGTGTGACAGACACAGCAGTGATTGCTGAGTTGACAAGAAAATCAGTTTCAATTTCAGTCATTGTATGGAAGAAGAGAAATGAATAACAACTCTGCTTGCCAGTGACTTCTCTTCCTAACCTTCCTGTATAATCACTGTAGCTCTTTCCTTCCCTATTCCTTTTGCGTTTGATCCCAGAAGTGCATCCTGTACGCAAACTCTGCGCAAGAACCAGCCTTGGTTTGGAAGTAGATTGTTATATGAGGTGGGAACAAACAGTGGGGATGCTTCCCCTGGTCTCATGACTACTAAAGCCTTCCTCCTGCAGGCTTTACATGTATGCCTACCCCAGGCAGTCATCTGGTCAGAGAAAACTAAGAATTACCTGAAAGGAATCAAAGAGGCCCAAGATAATGTGCAATTGCTTCTCAAATGCAGAGAAGTTTTCTTAGAGGTGCAGAATGAGGAAAAAAGTCATGAAGATATATATGGTATCAGTGAAGTATGCCTAATTATTTTATCCTGTTTCCTGTACTTTTTGTACTACCTTGGTATTCTCAGAAATTTTGAATGTTATTTAGGGTGTGAAAAGAGTAGGTAGGATATTATCACAAATACCTGTGCGTTCTGCTTTGTTGCTGTGGGGTGTGCATCACCAACTTTTAAGAGGTAGTCTTATATCACTTATGGTGGACCTGAATGCCTTTTTTCTCTGCTTATAATTAAGACCATTTTCCTGTTCTCCAACTTCCCTGCCAAATCCCTTGATTCCTGTCCTTTAGAAAGTGCTACATCACAAGTTCTCACCAGCTACATAGATTACCTGTGCCATCAGTGCCTAACAGAAGGTGTCAGTCCAACCTGAAGTGATTTGCTTTTGAGGCTCGAGGGGCAAGGAAGGGGCCTCTCAGGTTGCTTCGGAAAATGCCCATCAGCCCTTCCAGAACTACCCTTCATGTAGCCATTGTTTGAACAATGTTCTCTCTGTTTGTGTCTATTGGTGTAAAAGCGACGGGAAAAGGAACGTTCTCGGACCTGCCCAAAAAAAGTGATCACACTTTCTCCTCCCCCTACTTCACCTGCCTGTCAGGTGCACAGTGACCAGCAGGTGATCTTCTCTGCATGCTCTATGTCCTATCTGTCTTCTTGCCTGCCTGTGTAAAGACCAACTCAGTAATCC